TGATCTCTGAACAAGACTTGAGGTGCATCTTACACATGTCCTTAAAAGGAAAGCCTAATAATAGACCCGATCTGACTTGCTATAACCTAGAAACTAAAAAAAATTTCTAATCCATCTGCTGCTCAGGACGTAGGTAATGTCACCTGAGAAACACCCTCAGCAACCTCCTCCACGGCCTTATCTCCAATTGAGGCTGCTACAGCATCCGCACCATCCCTCGCTGACGCCTCTACAGGGCCCTCACTACTAGTAGCTTCGTTAGTTTTGGATTTCTGCTGCTTCTTCTTGGTCTTTGCAGCCTTCTTTGCTGCCTGCTTTGCCTTCTCTTCCTCCTTTTTCTGTCGCTCAGCTTGAGACCCGCCAAACATTTCCCTCCACTCGTCGGCCTTTTTGACATCGATGTTGCTGAAAAGGTACTTCGCCTTACCAACGCGGTGGCCAGGCTTGATAGCTGTAGGCTTCCACCCATCTTTGATGTCATTGAGGCTTGGTATTAGACCAGCCGGGGCATTCAACTGGTCAAGGATAGAAGCGGAAGTCGCAGGGAGATATGGACAGAATACGCTCGAACATAGATGAATCAAATTCACCACAATACCAACTACCGCTGCGGCACGTTCGGGTTCATTCGCAATAAGTGAATTATCAAGCTTATTAGCCTGGATTAGGCCATTTCCAGCCTCAGCAATCTTCATGGCTGTAACAATGCCAGCACGCAAGTGAACCCCTTCCATTTCATTGATGTATTGGCGAAGAAGGCTGCTTACTTCCTCAAGAGCTGGGTAGAAAGCTTCAGAGACAGTGAATTCCGGGATAACCGAGCTGTATGCCTTTGGACTAGCAACCAGCTTAACAACTCGGTTAACCAGGTTACCAAGTTTCGCAAGTAACTCTCCGTTATTACTGTCGATAAAGGACTTCCATTCAAATTGCGTATCTCCGGTTTCTGGGCGATTCTTTAGTAGGTAGTATCTCCACACATCAGATGAGACTCCTGTTTCCTTTGCATTGTTGCCGAAAACTCCAATCCCACGAGATTTGCTGAATTTGCCACCTTCGTAATTAAGATATTCAGTTGTACTTAGGTGGTGTAGCATCGTCCACTTATCCTTAGTGCCTAGCTGACATCCCGGGAATATAACGGCATGGAATGGTACGTTATCCTTTCCGAGAAACTGGTATAACTGGACTTCTTCTGGGCTCCTCCACCATTTCTCCCATTCAGAAGTATAGTTTGCAGTGATAGAAGGGTATCCAATACAAGCCTCAAACCAAACGTATAAAACCTTCCTCTCAAACCCATCTAGTGGTACGGGCACACCCCAATTCAAGTCTCGTGTGATACCGCGAGGTTGAAGGCCTTCCTTTAGCCACGACCCAGTGATAACACGGCTATTCTTTGGCCAGTCTCCTTTTTCAGATGCAGTGGCTGCCCAGCTCTCAATATCAGGCTGGAGCTTGTCCAGAAGAAGAAAGATGTGCTTCGTCTTTCGACGAATCGGGGTAGCGCCATCGACCTTGCAGCGTGGGTTTATCAGATCAAAGGGATCAAGCAGGTGCTGGCACTTGTCGCATTGGTCGCCTCGAGCGTCATCATAATGGCAGCGAGGGCATTCACCCTCAACAAAACGGTCGGCAAGGAATGAGTCATGCTTTTCACAAAAGGGTTGTTCCGTGGTTTTCTCTTCTAGATATCCGTGTTCATAGAGTCTTTTGAAGATGCTTTGAGATATCTCAGTGTGGGCTTTTGTTGGCGTGCGGCCAAATATGTCGAATCCTATATTGAACCACGAATAGACTTCCTGGTGTATTTTGTTATACTTTGAGCAGAGCTCTTCAGGGGTGACGCCTTCTTCCAAAGCCTTGGTTTCGGTCGCGGTGCCGTACTCGTCCGTCCCACAGACATAAAGGGTTGGTCTGCCGCATGCTTTATTATACCTAGGCAAAAACTCCTCGTATTAGTAGCAGTTGGTGGAATTCCCTCCAAAGACGCTCACGCGGATTACTGACCTCGAAAACACATCGGCGCTCAAAACGGAGCCAACAATGTTACCAAGATGCGGGACGTTGTTCACATAGGGCAAGGCACTTGTGATGAGGATGTTCCTTTTCCCCTGCTGGGGTAGGATCTTTGCTGTTGACTCCATAGTCGAGTTCGAGTTGCTGTGAGAGAAGTGGGATAGATGAATCTTAGTGGGGGGTGGGAGATGTTTTTTTAACTCGTTATCGATGAGGCTCAAGCTGTGGACGTCGAAGGATTGGCGCTTGTGACTCACCATTAGTTAACTAGTTAGTTGGCTAATAAAACTATTTCGCCCACCAACGCCTCCGAGGCAGCCCTTTTTTTTTTTGAATGACAACAAGTACATGGGAGGTCTGACATATGGATATGGATAATGGCCATTTTCTCGATGATATCCTTGGCCTCGAAGACGAGTTTTACGCTGAAGGCTACCGGCTAGGGACGCTTGACGGGACAAAGGCGGGCTTCAACGAAGGCAGCGTCTTCGCCATCGAAAAGGGCTTTGAAAAGTTCCAGGCCATAGGGAAGCTCTACGGGAAAGGGATAATATGGGCGAAGCGGTTGCCAAACCAGCCGGAAATTGTGAAAAGCAGCACCGTCCAGCCGCCCCATACAAGCAGCGGTGAGACCGGGGACAGTGCGTTGAGTGGTGATGCTAAGTTGGGCGAGCTGGAGGCACATTCTATGCCAGCACAGGATCTGCCAGTCCTTCCCAGCAACCCGCGACTAGAGAAACACATTGCGACTTTTCTTTCGCTGGTGAACCCCCTCACATTATCTATGGAGAACAATGAGGAAGCTGTGGCCGACTTCGACGATCGATTGAAAAGAGCTGCGGCAAAGGCGAAGATCATCGAGAGGATGCTCGGCGAACCAAGTGAGCATACTGCCGAGCCCTCTGCGGGAGCCAGCAACATCGAAGATATCAACTCATTGCCAGTTCATCTCACTGGTAGCCAGCAAACTCGAAACTCCGCTCTCGTGGTTCAACTTTGATCAACACCGAGACTCGGTTTTTAATGGGAAGGACTGTCTGCCACGTCTCTCCTGTTCCAGCTGGGGCCCAGTGCTTTCTTACACAAATGCACCCGTGAAACGCTCACAGCTTTGGCTATAGATCGCTGGTTAATAATTGCCACTAATTTCAAGTAATTCGCTACCTCGGCTGTTAAATGCCTAATATTTAGCCAACATTAGTCAGGTAGTTATGAATAACTAGTTAAACTAACCAACTAAGTAGTCAACTACCAAAAAAAACTAGCTACCTAACTTACCCACTTCAACAATCTTTCTTTTGAGAAGCATCTCTCGGTTCTTCTACCTTTCTATGTTTTTCCCTATCTTCAAAAAAGCAGTTTCAACATGACTATCAAAATTTCCCACCTTGCAGACCTCACGCCGGCGCCGCAAGAGAGGTTGTGGCATTCATGCCCCCACCCTCAGCTCCCAATTGTTGCGACTTGTGGCGCGGATAAAATTATTCGCATCTACTCTCTCCTAAATTTCACGTTGATCTCCTCAATAACTGGCGGCCATAAGCGTAGCGTCCGCTGCTCGGCGTGGAAACCCGGCTCTGGTGAAGAAATTGTCCTTGCAACTGCAAGTTTTGACGCAACTGTCGGTATATGGAAACGGTTGGAGCGGCTCCAACCTACCGCTACCAGTGTGTCCCAGAACCCAGAGGCAGACGATGACGGAGAGGATATACTCTCTGCTACTGGGGATGAGAGTGAAGACAAAGACGACTGGACGTTTGCTGTTGTACTTGATGGGCATGACAGTGAGGTGAAAGCTGTCTCCTGGTCATCCTCTGGCTCTCTCCTTGCAACTTGTTCTCGCGACAAATCAATATGGATATGGGAAGACCTAGAAGACGGCGAGAGTAACTTTGAAACTATTGCTGTTCTGCAGGACCATCAGGGTGACGTTAAATGTGTTTCCTGGCATCCAGACGAGGATCGCCTCGCAAGTGGTAGCTACGATAACACCGTTCGACTATGGAAAGAAGATATAGATGATTGGAGCCAAGTTGCCTGCCTTAATGGCCATGAAGGTACTGTGTGGTCGGTTGATTGGGAAACACAGGCACCCTCTGGAACAGGTACAAACGACACGCCAGGCATGCCATCCATCTCTCGCTGTGAGGAATCATTACGACCGATGACAGATACCGGTCGGCGTGAACCACGGCTTGTGTCCTGTTCAGACGATAAGACCGTCCGTATCTGGAAGAGATTGTCAGATCCAGCAATTTCAACCCCCCAGACCTTGGACAATAATAGTATACGCGGCACAATACGACCCAACTCTATCGAAGAGACGTGGGTTCAAGAAAGCATATTGCCGAATGAGCATGATATGTCAATCTACTCCGTTGCCTGGAGCAAAATTACTGGCCTTCTTGCCTCTGCTGGAGCGGATGGAAAGATAGTAATATATCAAGAACGCCGAAAGCTGAATTGCCACTCTGGTGGTGGGTTGGGTGAAAATACAGCTGAATCTCAAAGAGATATTATCTGTATGGACGAACAACAGGATCTAGGCAATTGTAGCATGGAGACAGAATGGTGTATTCTATCTACAATAGAGGCAGCGCACGGTGTAAATGAAATAAACCATATATGCTGGGCAACGAGAGGAGGCCAGAAGGCAGATTCACCAATACAGGAGATACTCTTAACCACAGGAGATAATGGCATAGTAAAGGCCTGGATATTAAAAACGGATTAATATTAATTAGTTAAAGTATTAACTATTACCTAAATATGATTAACTAGTTATGATAACTGCCGGAAGGCGTCCTCAGCTGGGAGGGTGGTACTCTTGTAACTTCTAGGGATAAATCAAAAGGGCCTATTACTAAAGCTTAAGGCTTGATAGCTAAAATAATATTAAAGAAAATGCAAGCAAGCAACGATCGAAGTCCTTGCTTTATATTATTTAGCTATAACTACTTCCGTACAACTTCGGTATGGGGTCTAGCTTTCTATTGTGTTATGTTTCTAGGTAGTTGCTAAGCTCAGTTGGCTATATGGCTAATCATCTTCCTTTAATGTAGTCCCCAGATTCCCCTCAACACACAGATCAGGACAAGCCCAACACTTTATATCTCGAATTGTATGAAGTTGGAGATATGGAGGAAGGAACGACAGAGGAAAGAGAAAGGTTCTTAGCGGAGGTTTACAAAGATACCAATAAAAACAGATATTTAGGGCTAGAGGACGCTGAAATGAAGTCTATAGGGAATATAGGAGTCCATATGTTATCCTCAAAGATGTCCCTTAGTCTAAAGTTGACAAGATCAACAGCAAACATCTGGAGAAATTGAACTACCAACATTTTTCTACAAACATTGGTGTGAACATGCCTATACTCCCACATGAAGCTCTAAGCCGCTTTAGT